TGTGTGTGTGTGTGTGTGTTATAGTGTGTTACTGTGTGTGTGTGTGTGTGTGTGCGTGCGTGCGTGCATGCGTGTTTGTGTGATGAGCTGCTATCAGTGCTAAGCAGAATTTATGGTTTTTAATTTCGTGGTGAGGTTGTTAGCCATTGGCTGGGCTACAATGCAGAACACAACACTCCTATACACACAGGGGTCATTTCCATAACACAAGTGTGTGTGTGTTTGCGTGTGCGTGTGTGTGTGTGGTGGCTGCTATGCCTTTAACAGCGGAGGACACAGACACACGCTCCAGTCCAGCAGCATAATAATCACAGTGATTAGCGTTATGAGGAGCAGTAAAACCGCACGTTAAACTAACCTCTTATTCCCAAAGGCCTCCTTTTCATTAGTGTGCACTACCTGTGTGTGTGTGTGAGCGATAGAAAGGCTGCTGTGTTACTGCTGATAAAGCCCATTAGAATGTTAGAATTAGTTTACAAATGATGAGTCCTTAGATTATTACTAAAACACACCCACACACACAGGACAGAGTCAGTTAACCATGTCACAACCCTGAACACCCCTCCTGATCCAGCACACAATTAAAACACCTCATATTACAATACTCACTATTCAGTTAACCAGCGACTAAACAATTAAAGGCTAATTAGTTCTCATTAATGCAGCCACAAAGACTGAGGCATGGTGGGTGGTCTACGAGGGACAGAAATTAGGCTTCATTCATGAATTATGAAATAATATGAAACATACAAGACAATGGCAACGGGTGAAGTTTTTTAAATGTCTTTTTAGCTTCCCTGAAACCAAAAATACCACATTAGAGGCTCCAGTTCTTTCTTCCAGTCACCTGAAGATCAAATATTCGTACCACACGTGCGGTATATTTGATCATTTTCTGTAACAGTCCACATTAACGGACGTCTGTCGTCCATAAGTAGTATGTAGTCCAAAGTTTATGACCGCACAGACTGTTAACACTGTACTCTTTTTTCATAGCTACCCCTTGAAAATGAAAGGAAAGATTACGGACCAATCCAAATGACAATTAGGTTGAGAAACTATATTAATGTTTCAAGATATTTTCTTACTCCTGTTTTCCTTTGTTTATTACTATTACTCAGGTTTTGAATGCACCTTTTCTCTTACTGCTTATATACTTATACTTATATACTATAAATTGTATTGTTATTTTGGATATTATAACATTGCTTTTTGTGAAATAAAAAAATAATGACGTTTGCTGCTTTGTTCACTTCCGTTTCTCTTCTAATGTACCGATTTGCTGAAGCTGAACAGCCAATCAGAGCGATTTCTCCCACTGACGGCCCCAGCCGCCGATGAGGGCCGTCGAGTGCCAACGGTGCAGAACACAGCGCAAAAACTAGGGCTACCGAAGCTCATCGACAGCCCGACAGCGGCCTTAACATAACTAACACTGGCAGCAGTAATGGGGCTCATAATGTCAGAGGTGCAATGGTTGTGGTCAAAATGACTCAAATGTATTCATTCCAAAGAGGGTGTTAGAGGGAGTAACAAATATACCTATATTTCATATTTCTCTGTGTGTACTTTCGCTAATGTCTCCCTTCTCTCACAGCAGCAGGCAATGTGCACTGATACACACTCAAGTTATCATTCCAGTATTACCTTATAAAAACTAAGTGACTTCTATCTGTGTGAAATGTAACGCTGCACAAAGTAAAAGGCAGGGAGGTAAAATTCTCCTGACTCTGATAAAAACAGAGCTGTTATTACTGCAAATGATCCTTTTAATCTAAGAAAGGATGTTGCACGGAGCGAACCTCAAGTGTGAGATACTGAGACTTGGTTTTATTTATTTCCCGAAGAAAAGCTGAGAGAGAATGCTGTTAAACTGAAGTGTAACATTTTAAACACCAAAGCAAACTTTCTCCATTACTCCACTCCGCTTCTACACTTATTCATCCTCACAGCACAATGGATTCACACACCGCACACGTACACACATACACACAGATATAGTCTCTATAGGTTTTGTGCTTGTCTACTTTAATCCCAGCTGGTTTATTCTGCTCTGATCAATGACCTAAGACTAAGAAGTGATCACCCAGCTGGAGGAAAATCTTGCCCTAACATCATCCCTTTTCCCCCTCTTTCTGCCTCTTTGTCTCTAATTCACCTTAATTTAATCCTGATAGCATCGAGTGCTGTCGGCTGGCCTGGCAGAGCTGTAAGTCTCACAGTAGAATTAGCTTTCCTCCAGAAACATTTTGCTGACGGGGAGCGCAGCTAAAATATGGCCTCTATTCCCCCACATGGCTGCACGGGGGGCTGCTTTGCATTTTAACAGAGCTTTGGTTTATTCTGCGGGACACACACAGGGAGAAAATCACACAGCAAGGCAGAGTTCCCCACAGGAGATAAAAACTGCTTCTCTAACTGAAACTCAAGATTTACCAGACAAATTAGAAGTGATGGTTTAAGTAAAGCAGGGCCATGTGTCACTGTAATAGGAAAAAGACAAAACAAATATTGGGAACTTTAACATTAAAAACAGGCGCAGATAGAAATAAAAATAGTTTCTGAACAGAGCAGAATAAATAAAAAAGTTGTTTAAGTAAAGCAGGGCTATGTGTTACTGTAATGGCAATGTTTACTCAAAGATAAAGTAAAGCAGGTCCCTAAAGGGAAAATAGGGAAGAAAGAACAATAAGTAGTTCTTTAACAACCAAATAAAGAAGAGATCTGTTGGAAGTGGTTGCTAAAGTAAGGGCGATGCCTTACTTGGACAACAACACAGCTTCAGCTAAACATCATAAAGGGTTGAGGCTGCGACTAACAAGAATTTTCATTTTTATTGTTCATTTGTTTCTTTGAAATGTGATAAAATAGTAAAAACTGCCCACTGCAGTTTTTCCACGGTGACCTCTTTAAGTTACAGATGGTTTACATATGGTTTGTTACTGAGAACCATATGGTAAGTCAT